GGCCAAGAGTGTGCCAGGGAGTGGTGGCTGCAGCTGAGGTACCCCTGTGGGCTACGCCTGCAATCCAGACCCAAGAGGGACTCAGTGCAGGTGGGCCGAGGGCTGGGCAGGCCTGCTTTGGTCCCTGTCCTGCCTCCTTTTAGCCACAGCCACTGAGGGTAGTGGTGGTGGGGTACTCTAGGAGCGTATTTGGGCTCTGCGAGAGGGAAGTGCCTTTCTCAGCCCCCTGGGACGAGCCTCCTGCCAGCCTGGAGAGCTGAGCATACCAGCTTCCTCAGCCAGTTAGAGACCAAGGTGATGTGGCCCATCCCAACTGTTGTTCCAGGTGTGCTCTTTTTTTTCAAATTTTTTTTCAAATTTTTATTGTGATTTGGGTGAAAGTTTACAGAGCAAATTCACTTTCTATACAGCAGCTCACATACACTTTCTCTCATGAGATTGACTGCAATTTCCCACAATGCAACAGCGCCCTCCCACTTCCTCCCCATAGTTACCTCTTTCCTGTGTCCTTCCCTCCCCTGCACTCCTGCCCCGTGAGGTGTCTCCTTGTCTCCCTGTCCAGCTGCGCTCTTGTATGAGAGCTCTTACATGAGGGAAGGGAGTTCCAACTAGATTCCTCTCTATCTTTGGGGACTTGTGGCTCCATCTGTAAGCCCCTGCCACCTGCCCACCATGGCCAAGCCACCTCATATAGGATCACTTGACCTTGAGGCTGTAGGGTGGGAAAGACTTATGGTCCCCTCCGGCATCAGGCTTGACCCCAAGCCAAGTACCCATGAAGCTCTGTAGAAGCCACCTTCTTGCCAAGAGTAGGTGAGGGAACAACCAGCAGCAAAACCATTTGCTGCAAATGCTGGAGAGGAGGGGGCTAGGACTGGGTGGCAAGGGACTCCATGGGGGTGGGGCGTCAGAGCGGAAGGTGTTGCAGGGTAAGTGGCACATCCCTACCACCTGCAGTCTTGGACTTAGAGACAAGCCGTGGGGACTTGGGCCCTCCCCTGCACCGGTTAGCCCCCACACCCAGGGTGCTCTGAGCTCCTCTAGTCCCATCACTCACAAAGAGCAGGGCTGGATTTAGCCTGGGGCTTTGGACCAGCGGCAGTGGGAAGGAGTGTGGCATGACCCTCCTCTCCCGTGGCTGCACACTGCAGGGCTGGCTCTGTTGCCTGGAGGCTTCCCCTAGCTCTTACTCACTTTCCTGTGCAGCAAACACGTCATCCCGCCATCAAAGTGGGGGAGTCTGGGTCAAACAGGCAGGTGTGGTCTGTCCAAGGGACAGAGGAGACTTTATCTTCTGGGCAAGGGTCTGTCTCTCCACTCTGCCTCTCTCCCAGCACACAACTGCCTTTGTGGCCCTGCATGTCAAACGAGGGGCTGGGGTCACAAGTGATGAGCTTTCTGCCGTGACGCTGAACGATCACAGCACGTGCGACAGCAAAATGCTCTGCCCCGTCCCCTCAGTGCGGTGTCTTTGGGGCGGACAGGACATGGAGTAGACTTTGTAAGAACCCAGGGCCGGCAGGCTCAGCAGCGCTGGCTGGTAGGTGCTGAGTGCACCTGGACAAATGAGACCATTGAGGCACTTTCTCTTGGCTATTTATTACAGAACGAATCAAAAACGCACTGGCTTGAAACAGACGCCAGATTTCCAACGTAAAGCTGAAACACAACATGGCAATTAAGATGTGCTCACACGAAGTCAAGACACTGAGCAAAGTTTTCAATAACGACATTAAGTATACATGACGATAATGCAGATAGAAACTATCAAAGACAAACCCCAAATCAACTATTAATGTTTACAGACTTTTCCCCCCCAAAACCACAGTCTTACAGCAAAACAAATACTGAAAGGCCTTAAACCAAGGACATTGCACCCCTGCCATCAAAGGCCCACACCCCAGATGTGCTGGCACAAGGATTTTCTTTCGTCTGAGGGATAAGAGGGAGGACACAATCATTCCTCGGGGGCGGGGGGCTGCTCGGACAGCCCTCAACTCGCAAGCTGGCTCTCCACGGGCTTGCTTCCCAAATGGAAAGCACTTTCCACACTCCTGGTGAGTGTCCTCTGGGGGCCTCAGAGTTGGCTTCTGCCAGAATAGGCTCGGGTAAAGAGCCAGGGGAGGCGGGAAGGTTTGCAAGAGATCAAGGATCACACGAGGTGACACACTTTGTAGCAAAATGCAAAGACATGGCCAAGTGGTTTGTGACTCTGTACACCACCTCTCCCCCATCTCCCACAGCAGAACCAGAACTGTCTCGGCCTCCCAGCTGGACAAAGTATCACTGGAGCTAACAAGGCAGTCTGCAGCTTTGTAACAATGCGTAATGAACACAAAAATGATGTGTAAGAAACACAAGGCTACTGAAACAAAGGCCGCGTGGTCACTTTATTTACAAAGTCACAAAACGAAGTATAAACACTTCTGTCATTAATGTTTAGCAAAACACTGTACAAAATTTCCCACTATGTACAGGTAGCCTGTAGGTAGAGAGAGGGGTGGGAGTGGGGTGCTGCCCTTCCAACTGTAAGTAGGAAACAACCATGGCTGGCCAGGGCCTCTCGTGGACTTGCTGTGGAGTCATATCATTGCTAGGGGGACGTCACTGTGGGGGCCTCCTGCTGAGACTTAAAGCTCCCCAGCCTTGGGGCTGGGCTGGCCGCCGTTCGGGGCCGTGGCATCCTGGGCAGCAGCGTTTTGCTCCAGGATGTCATCGATCAGCCTCAGGTTGCACACCCAGTCCTCGCCGGGGCTCACATGGGAGTCCCTCAGGAGGGCTTCAAGGAAATCCACCTCGCTGCAGTCAGGGGGCAAGGCGGGGTCGTCTGGTGGGGGCTGGGGTGCCGGCTCACCAAGTGGCTGCTCAGTGGGCAGACCTGCTCTGTTAGACGGACCTGGGCACTGGCTGGCGGCAATGGCAGAGGTGGCGGCAGTGGCAGCCACGGCGGCCACGTAGCTTGGCGGCTCAATGCCCTGCATGGGACTCATGGGACTGAAGCTGGCCAGGCCTTGCTGGAGGGGCTCGGTGGCACTCAGCACCGGCACAGGGCCCCGCACTGGGCTCTGCCTGAGGCTCTGGCTGCCCTGGCTGAAGTTGTGGTTGGCCAGGGCAATGCCCACCTTCTGGCTAGGCGGCCCCCCCACAGCCATCTGATTAGGGGGCACAACTGTCTGCTGTGGTGGGAACCCCATGACCAGAGGCACTCTCACGGGCACCTTGGCGAACATGGAGCTGCTATCAAAATGCTGCTGAATACTATTATCAACTTGGCCCAGAGCCGGGCCCCTAGAGACCGCCGCGGGCCCAGCTGCTGTTGCCGCCACCGCCACTGGCCACGGGACATTGGTGAACACACTGGGCATTGTTGGCACACTGGGACGTTGGAGCTGGGAGGGACCCAAGGGCTGGCTGCCCAGGGGGCTGGGACCGAAACCAGGCAGGAGCCCTCCCGAAGGAGGTGGCCAGGGACTCTGTGCTTGCTGGCTGGAGCTTGAGGGCAGGGGAAGCTGGAAGCCAGAGGTGAAGACTGCTGGCTGCTTGCCTGGATGTGGTGAGGACATGCCCACAGGGCCCTGGTTTAGGGGCCTTGTGGGAAGGACCGTTCCTGGACTCCGACTGCTGGGAAGGAGCCCAGTTCCGGCTGGTGCTGGGAGCTGGCTGGGCTGGGGGCTTGCTGTGGTCTGGCTGTGGTTGGAAGTGACTAGTTCTTGGACGGCTACAGAAAGAGAGAAGTGTGGTCAGTTCCAAAGGCACCCTCGACTCAGGTGGCGGCAGCGGGAGGGAGCTGGTGACTGTTACTCCCACCCTCACTGCCCTTGCTCCTCCGGAGACAGCGCTGCACCCAAACCCTTCCCAATGCTCCTCCTTGACTCCCGTCCCCATCAGGGCCCATCATGGTGGGCTGATGTGCCAGCTCAGCTGTCTGGCTTTCCAAGCAGAGCCCCGCAGGAATGGCACTCATGGTGATTCTAATACACACCCCTCTCCCACTGAGAATTATGACTTTAAGGGGCCTGCTAATGAAGCAGTTCTCATGGCACAGTGGTTAAGGCATTCGGCTGCTAACCAAATGGCCAGTGGTTTGAACCCACCAGCCACCCTGCAGGTGAAAGATCTACTTGGTCCTCTAGGGGCACTGTGAGTTGAAACTGGCTCCACGGCAGTGGGTTTGGTTTGAGCTTTGCTTCCATAAAGATTGACAGCCTTGGAAACCCTCTGGGGCAGTTTCTACTCTGTCCTCTAGGGGCGCTCTGAGTTGGAATCGATTCAATGGCAGAGGATTGGGTGGGCTGTTGTTAGTCAGCTCTGACTCATGGCAACCCCGTGAACAGTGGAACAAAGTGTCGCCCAGTCCTGAGCCAGCTTCACATTCATTGCATTGTTGTGGCCACTGTGTGTTTTGAGTGCCTTCAACCTAAGGGGCTCCCTTTCTAGCACTCTGTCAGACGGTGTTCTGTACTGATCCATCAGACTCTCAGTGGCTGAGTGTCAGAAGCAGATCACCAGCCCTTTCCTCCGAGTCTGGCTTAGCGCGGAAGCTCTGCTGAAAGCTGTCCCCCATGGGTGACTCTGCTGGTATTTGAAATACTGGTGGCATAGCCCCCAGCCTCACAGCAACACACAGGCCCCCACAGTACAGTCACCTGACAGACGGGTGGTAGCTCAGAGTCTTGGCTCTTTAATCAATCTCTTGAATGAAACCATGATTACTGAGTCATTAAGTCCTTCAACTGGGATCCAATTTCAGTGCTTAGGAAGAGACAAACTACTTTCAGTGAGTTCCAACACCATGCTACTTAACCAGAGGCCAAACTGATGGTCAGACATGCCCTCTCTCCCTCAGAGTGGTGAGAAAACCCAGTATTACCCACTTACTCTGCCAGGAAGTTTTACCTCGCCCCCGCATACACCTCCTTGGCTGCCTGTTCAGAAACACCAACCTTCACTGCTTACCTTGGAATTGCCTCATCTGCTGGGCTAGATGCGCGTTCTGTTGCTCAGGGGTCATTGCCATAGGATTTGGTCTCTGTTTCTTGGGCTAAACAGAAAATGAAAAGGCTGTGTTAGCTGACAGTCACCAAGCACTACTAGCCTTGGGATGGCTGCATGGGGACCCAGGACTTGGCTTTGGCGGAGCAAAAAGCAGGAGTGAACGCACCAACACACACTCGCATGCAGGCCCCACCCTCCCAAGCAAAATTCCACAGGTATAAATAAAAGTAGGCATCTGCACTTGGGTGCAAAAAACCAACGGCAACAGCACAGGATGGAGGAGGGGAGCTTCACAGCAAGAGTGCAGAGAAAAGACTGAGGCGTTTTGGATGTCCACTTGCTCAGGATGTGTACGCAGGAAGATGTGGTCACCAGGGCAACAAAGGTCACGTTAGGCTGCATTAACAGAAGCATAGGATGTAGAAGGAGGGAGGTGACAGTCCTGTGCTACTCTGCCTTGGCCACACCATGCCCACGGTGCTGATGGGAATCAGGGCATGCCACTGTCAGGCAGACCCAGACCAGCTGGCTGCATTTGCAGATGGTAAGCAACTGGGCTAGGGACCTGAGTCCAAAGTACCCAAGTGAGACCAGACCCAGGATGCTGGGTTGCTGAGCTGTCTTGGGGAAAGGGCCAAGATGTGTTCCTGGTGGGCCTGGCACCAGGAGTAGCCAAACCTTCATGTCAACTTCCCTTCATCCTGCTGACTTGCTGGAGCAGGGGCAATCGGACGATCTTCCTATGCGCAGTTTCAAAGCTGAGCCTGGGTGGCCCTGAGTCAGGGGAGGAGGGGGCCCAGAGAAGGGCATGATGGGAGAGAATCCAGTGAAGGCCACAAGGTCTGGGAGAAGGCTTCAGGGCCCAGCTGTGCCTTGGCTGGGGATGGACTCCCAATCCAGAGCATGCAGCCCCACACCATCTCTGCCTGCCTGTAGCCACCCTAAGCAGCCTGCTCCTGAGTGTGCCCTTCACCCAGGTAGCTCTGTCAGGCAGCATACTCCCATGCCAGCTATCTGGCTGCAGTCATCCCAGATGCCTGAAGACATGAAGACAAGACCCTCCAAAACGGGCCGCCAGGGCAGGGCTGCTTTCACACCAGCCAGGCTGGCATGGGAGGGGTGGGGCAGGGGGCGGGTGCTGGGATGGGAAGCAGGGGCCTGGCAGCCATCCCAGCCTCAGTTCCTGCCAAGGCAGAGAGGACAAACACACGGCACTGGGAGCACTGGGACAGCAGAGAGTTCACCAGACCCAGGGTTGCTTTTCCGTCCCGCCCATAGCCTGCTTCCTGTCTTCGTTTTGGCCCCTCTCCCTGGGGCTGCTGGGATGTGGGCGGTGCAGGGTGGGCTGCTTCCTGTGCTGGAGGACAGGGGGCTGCCGTCCTGAGAGCTCACTGGTACTGAGCACTTGGCATTAGTGATGTCCCTTCACCCTCTGAGGTGTTAACACTGGCATCCCAGTGTTACCCATGATGGCCACATGACTTGGCCAAGGCCACACCATCCAGCCACTTGTGGCTGCTGAGATGTTCAAGGTGGGCGGATCACCTCCCTGCGGGAGGCACAGAGGCAGCTCTTCCACGTTGACCCAGCCCTCTAATTCCATGCTTCCCCTTGACCCTCACACCAGCTCTAGGAGGGCAGAGTGAATGTCCCCAGCTTACTGATGGTGACAGCTGAGGTTCACAGAGGTTAAAAGACTTGCCCAGTCACATGGTTAGGCAGCCCAATGTACCCCACCTCCAGGTCCAGGGCTTCTGCTACCCCAGCGGCTACTTCTGGGGACCAGTTGCATGGGGCTTGCTAGCTCTACACTGTCCCTGACTCTGTCCCCCAAGCTGCTCCATTCACTTCAGCAAATGGCACAGTTATAAGGGGTGTGGTGGGGGGCTAGAGAGTGTGACCAAAGAGAAAGCTGAGGAAGGGCAGCAAAGTCCAACGGGAAGGATGTGGCGAGAAAAGATAACCCCACCCAAGGCCGGCTGGGCCAAGACTCCCAGGGTGGAGGGACCGGGCGGTGTTCATCTGAGGAGGAGTGCAATCCACAGCACACAGAACTGAAGGGACAGCCTGGTCAACAGCATCATGACAGAAACTCCCAAGTGCAAACACCATTGACCTCCAGCCCATGGCCCGATCTGCAGGGCCGCCAGGGTCCCGGGGTACTGCTACCATCCCGCCTGCCCCCTCCTGGCCTCTTCGCCCTGCCGGGCCATCCAGGCCCACGGCCGGGCCTCTGCTCCGACTGGTCCTGCTACCCCGGGCCTTCTCTGCAGCCCTCCCGAGGAGGCGGCTTCCTTTGTTTTGCAGCCGGAGCCTCCATCCTTTGTTCTGAATCAATGTGCTCCAAAGATAAGCCCCGAGAAAACAGTTGTTGCCTTTTGACACTGACAATTCGTATCGTTGGAGATTGGAGAAAACAGGAAATGACCAGTGTTTTCAGTGACCAGGAGGAAACGGTGGCTGAAAGTGGCTGCTTGGTGATGGGTCGCTGCCGCTTGGGCCCTCTCCTGAGGGACGGCTCGGGCAAGTGGGGCTTTCTATCCGCAGTTATGGGGTGGTCATCATGTGATTCATCTTTCTGGGGCTGTGACTGTCATGGCGCCCAATCTTGTGGTGTGGTGGTGCAGAGACTTGTGGTGGCCACTATTGTGGGCCTGGGGTTGGGGCCAGCACGGAGTCTCCTGGAGAACTAACTAAGGCCCCAGGTCCCCCCTCACCCGCTCCTACCCCCATTCACAGATGGGTCCCAGGAAGGTCCTGGAGCTGTCTTCCAGCCAGCTTCCCACTGAAAGCCAGGGAGCTGCAAAGCCCCCGTCTCAGTCACTACCTGCTCCTACTTCCTGCTTCTCCCTCGTGACCAGACGAGTGGCCTCATTCTTGATTCCATCATTTGGGCAAAGGGCCCCTCTAGTTGACGGGGCTGGGGCAGAAAGCTGCAGGTACTCAGCAGGCCTCCCAGCCAGACGCCCACCCAGGTTCCTGGATTCCTGCCATGACCCCCAGGAGGGGAGCATCTGACCTCAGGGGGAACTCAGATGAAGTAAGTGTGGCTGTTATTTGTTTACACTGCAAGAGAAAGCATGTTCTTTTGTAGTTTTTGCCAAAGACGGCCAACTTGGAAGAAGCCGTCCACCCTTCTGGTTTCTCCTATGAGACGACAGGAAGACGCGGATGCCACTGGTCTCCACACCATGGTGGGTGGGACCTTGGGGCCAGGGCTCTGGCGGGCAGGGCCCAGGACAGGGGAGGAGCTGGCTCCACAAGGAAGCTCAGCGCACTGCCGGAATTCCTCTTGGGGGCTGGCCTTCCCAGACCATATATTTTCTTTTCCCATTCAACAACTCTTTATAAGGCTCGGTGCTGGGCTCTGAGGGGGTGGCAAAGAGGACCCAGGCTGGTCCCTGCTGTCGAGGTGCTCACAGGCCCAGAGGCCTCCCCGTACCCCAATGCCTTTCAGATCATTGAGAGGGGACCACACAGCAAACAGGTGCTGTGCAGGGGACATCACCATCTTCAGGGAGGGCAACTGCCTGGCTTCCAAGGCAGCTGTTTTAGAGGAGACAAGATTCTTTTGGATGGGTCAGTGCTAAAATGGCTGGCAGAAGTTGCCTTGGTGGCTTTGGAGTCACACTGTCTACTGCCCAGGTGATGTAGGTACAGCCAAAGGGATTCCTACAGGTAGGGTGTGGGGTGCACACAGAGAACAGGGCCTCCCCTGTCATCCCACCGGAATATCGGTAGCCATTGGGTTCCTGAAGGCACTGATAGGAGGTGGTGTTGGGCGACCTTGGCTCCACAGCCTGAGGCCAGAACCAGGGCCAGTGAGGAGGAGTTGCAGAGGGACAGAGTTCAGCTCAATCCAAGAAAGCCCTTTCTAACAAGAACACTTGGCCAAAGATGAAAGGGACTGCCTGGGTAAGGGGTGAGCTCTCCATCACTAGAGGTATGCAAGCAGAAGGCCCTTGGCAGGAGTGCTATAGAGGAGCATCCTCTAAATGCATGGCAGGCAAGATGTAATGATTTCCTTGCCCCTCTTAAGCCTCAGAGCTGGTGACTCAGTTTCTCCAGCATGTCTCCAGGGCAGACTGGACAATGGTTGAGTAATGGATGTGCTGTCAGGCCACTTCTCCTTCCTGGAGACCAGGCGAGGCTCATCGAGCACCTGGCCTCAGTATTGCATTTTTTGCTCAGTGACCTCTCCTGCTCATCGATTCTGAACCTACCAGCCCAAGTTCAGGATGGGACAATGGGGCTGACTCGGCAGTCCAGTCAGTCCATTACCAAGTCAGGCGACAAACACTGGGCCTGCTGTGGGCCAGGCACTGTCCCAGGCACAGGGTATCACTCTACTCTCGCAACTGAGGGGAAGACACTGCCCGTCATTAAAGATGTTCATTTCAGACAGTGATGCGTGCTCTCGAGAAAACAGAACCTCTGCGGGGCTCAAGCTGGGGAGACACGGCACACACCTTAAGTCGGGCATGGGTCCCTGAGGGCGAGCGGGCAGCTGCCACATCATTCTCTCAATTGGGTAAGACCTGTGGCTGTGCCGGTCTGCCGGCTTCCGGGCCCTGGCACAGGAGCTCAGGGATGAGGCTGCCTTTGGAGCTGAGCTTCTTGGGAGCTGCCACTGGAGGCCTCACCAAATAAAGTGCCATCCGAACAACGGGCTCAAGGGCGCGTGCTGGAGGGCACTGTGTTTCTGTTTGGGGAGAGGAGACACTATTGGAAATGGGTAGTAGGCATGGTGGGTCAATGATGAACACGATCAGGGTCTCTGAATTGTACCCTTAATGTGGTTAAAGTGGCAGGTGTTTTGTTGTGTATATTTTGCCACAACGGAAGAGGAACAAAAACCCACCAGCAGCACAACAGCTGAAACAAATGGCTGAGGTCTGTTGGTCATCTTTTTTGCCCTCCACATTGTCTTTCCACTTGACCTACAACTCTGACTCCTCCTCGGGGCTGGCTGCTTCCAGCAGGGCTTGGTTGAAATGCCGGGAATGGTCCCTGGGCAGAGGAAACCCAGGTCCTTCCAGTTGGCCGCTCTTCTTCGCCTGTGGTCTGCAGCCTCTGTCCCACACTGAGTGTGCCCTTCCCGCGTCATAGGTTGGGCTAGCGAGGTGCAGCAAGGCTGCCAGGGACTCTTCTGACCAGTGCTCCCAGGAGGGCCCAACTTCCACAGGTTCCAGAGCAGTTTTGGGTTGCGGGGCACAAGGTGACTCGGGAAGCATGCGAATCAGCTGGCTGGCACGCCCGTGCTTGTGGCTTCCCAGGGCTGACCAGGGTGCAGACGGCAGCATCTGGGGCGGGTGACTTCCTGGGCCGTTTTGGCTCCGTTTCTCAGGAGGCTTTGTGCTGGGCCAGATCTCTGGCTGCAGCTGAGGCCTGAGGGTGCTCGCGGAGCACCCAGAGAAGGGGGACAAGAGCAAGCGATAAGCCCACAGCTCTCAAACGGAAGCCCAGCCCGGATCATAGGATAGGTGCAGCACCCAGCCGAAAGTCCGGTACAGGCCCGAATCCCGGGAGGCCCTTGCAGTGTGTTGGCATCTACCAATCACTATTGCCTAGAAAATGTTCACTTTGCCAGGTGTCTGGGCACGCAGGGGCTGACGTCTGTGCATGCTGACTTTCGTGCGGCACAAGGCTACATCCAACATCCAAGCACAACTGCCATCAGGCTCTCACAAGCGCTCAGGTGGCCCTTCTAGGCTCTGGACGCTCCAGGGTGACCCAAACGCCTGGCCAGCCTGGACAGGCTTGGTGTGGGCTCCTGCTCCCTCTCATGCTGCTGGGCCTCCAGGGAGACCACCCAACTTCCCACTTCTGTGGAGCGTGAGTCCTGGCTGAGGTCAGAGAGCACCCCAGAGGCAGGGGCCACTAGGTGTGGAGAAGGTGGGTGTAGGAGGGGGTTGGAGGTGCAGCACAACCGAGCCCCCGAGGGCTCACTGTCTGAGCGCAGGGACAGGCAGGCAGTGAGGAAGTGGGATTCTGGAAGCCACACCGTAGAGGGAACAGTGCTCAGTTGCACTGGGGCCACCCTCACTCCTTTCCCTGACACCTGCCTTGGGTGGTCCCTTTGAGGTAGAAGGCCCGGGAGAAAGCGCTAGAACTCCCTCAGGGGCGCACCAAGCTTTACAGGCTGCCAAGGGCCTTCCTTTGGAGCTGTCACCTCCTGTCTTCCTCCCAACACCCTTGTGAGGCGGGTGGCAGGCTGAGCAGGGGACTGCCCCTGGTTGGCGGATGAGGAAAGCGAGGCACAGAGGGGGAGTGACTTACCTGCGGCGTCGCAGCTAGGCAGCAGTGGCGCAGGCACCTGCCTCCAGGCCTTCGGATCCCAGCCGCCCCAGGGCGCTGCCTCTGAGGCGCTGTGCGAGGAGGTGACTCGGGCCAGCTCATGAGCAAAGGAGCTGCCGGGCAGGAAGGGCTCGCTCCCCAGCGCCTGGCAGGCTGGGGGCTGCCGCCCGAGGCTGACCTGGGGGGGCCTGGCTTCCCCAAGCTCGCAGGCTTTGTCTATATGAGGCTACAACAACCGATTGAACAATCCGTCAGCGGCCTGGCCAGGAGATGGTTGTGCCTGATCTTGTCAACCACCTGTCTGCCTAGCTCAGTCCTGGGGCTGTGGTGTTTATTCATCCAAACTGGAAGGCGTGGTCTTAGCTTTCCTTGGGTCACGGGCTCTTCTGACATTCAGCATAAAGCTATGGTCTGTCCCCACAGACAGATATCCTGACGGTGGCCTCTCACCCTCCCCAGCCCATCAACATTTTGCAGACAAATGCTGGGGGGTTCTGGCCCACTGGACTCCACCTGTGGATCTCATGTTAAGAACCCCCTGCCTCAAGCCATGACCATCTTGTTGAAAAGAGGAATCAGGCTGGTTCATCTTCAATGACTGACCAGTGGCCACCCCTCTCCTACCCGGCCCACAGCAGCGCACACCAACTCTACACGTGTGTGTGTGTACACGTGCTGGCAAGTCTGCGAGACCAAATGGCAAGTGCAAGACCAAAACAAGCAAGGATAACTCCCTTCACAGCCAAGTGCACCTGAACTGCAGGGTCCCTGGCCCTCAGCCTGCCTGGGCCCCATGGCTTCAGGACTCAAATGTGGGTGGCACTTCGCCTTCCCATCCTGCTTCAGATGACAGGGATTTCACCAGAATGGAACAGATGACACAGTGTTTCAGTCAAAGGCAACTAAGAGAACCTCACCCTTGATTTTCACGTCAGGGTACGCTTCAGAACCCAAATGAGTCGCTGACATAGCCCTGCCAAGAGGCTGGGGGACACCTGCCTACACGAGCAGAAGTCTTTTCTCTATGGGGCACCTTCACTCTCAGGCTGGTGTCAGGATCCCTGAGCTGCAAATGAGCATCTGTGTCTACCACCAAACAGCCCTGACAAGAGGAAACTATCCCCCTTGAAAATGAACACGTGTTCAGCACAAAGCTAAACAGTCCGAGGCAGCGTAATTCACGGCAATAAACTCTCACTAAGCACTTATCGTGGGCAAGTGTCAGCAGTGGTGATCTTTGAGTAGATGTTTGGATGCATCTTTTGAAATGAGACAATGAACCATCATGGCTGAATTGATGGAGCATTTGCTCCAGGCCCTAACCCAAGTGCTTTCAGTGTTCTGTCCTGTCCAGTTTTTATCAACAGTTGTAGACATCCTACAGATGAGGAAATGGAGGCCCAGCAACTTTAAGTAATTTGCCCAAAGTCACACAGCTCATTAGCAGCAGAGGAGGATACAAACTCAGCCTTTCCTGGCTCCAAAATAGTTTGCTGTGAGGTATGTGTGCGTATACGTTCGTTAACCTGCTATATTGAAAACGACTTTGGAAATGCAGACACTGTTCAAATGTGCTACTGCAAAAGGAACAAGTAAGATTTTAAATGGGGGACAGACCACATTTTAAGAGCAAATTATAAATGTGTAAGATTTATGAATACAGGAATATGAAGACAATCTAACTTAAAGATGATACCCCTCAAGAAAACCCAAAGAGAAACAAAAGACCAAGCCAAAAAGTGTCACAAACTGTGCTGACCATGTGAACTCAACGTACTGGTGCAATAGATTTCCTTGCCACACTACCGGCACATTCCCCCAGGTCTTTGGTTACTATAGAGCTGAGCTCCTTGGCCATCTGCAGCTTCCTTTCCTCAAGCTCCCACTTGTTTTGGGGGCAAAGCCACCTGGGACATGAGCAGAAATGTCACTTTCAACTGCTGAAATTCTTTCTGCCTGTATTCCTAGTTCCTTGATAGTTTTCAATAACATTTTGGGCCACATTGGAGTTTAAGGATCTCAATACACAAATATTCATAGATTTCTGCTTACTTGTCCACTCCATGATAAAACATTCTAGAAGCAATGAGTGGGTTTTATGTGTAGAGAAGCATAGCTTTTGAATTGTTTGCTCAAGAATCCTTGGTAGCATCATGTGACTTGTAGGATGTTCATGAAGGGGTCAAGAAACAGGATCCCTGGCAGCATAAGCACAGGCTTGCAGGGTCTCAATGGTCCTGGAGGCAGAGAAAATATGCAGATGGCACCTGGAAGATGCCCCAACAGCAAGGGCAGTTCTACAAGAGCAGCGATTGGGAGTGGCCAGGAAGCACTGATTCCAGTAGCACAGAATGGCAGCAGGTACTTCTCAGATCAGTGACACCCCCAGTTGAAAGAGGAAATAAATAAAATAGATGGGATTCCACATTGACTCTGTTGACTAAGAGCTTTGCAGCTGATGCCTATGTATTCTCTCCACTTTATTTAATTAGGCACAGAAACTGCTAATCACACACCCTTTAAGGGAGAGACCCAGCCCTAAAGAACAAGTTATTTGGGATATTTCCACTTCCAGAATTTTCCAAATATAAGGTAAGTCCAGTCCTCTCTTTGGGATCACTAGAAATCGCAGAAAAGCCAGTAGATCAATCACCGGCGGGCATGGTCACTAGCTCTTGGGACTGGCTGGCTCTCCATTATTCTGAATTTTATAGAATTAAACCATGAGGTGGGTAGTCTAACAATGGGTGCCTAGTGCCCAATTTTGCAGTGCTCACATCCACTCATTCCCTGACCCTGGGCTTCCTATGACTGCTAGGGAGCTTGCTGGAATCATGTTGCCCAGGCCCCTTGTTTCTGAAAACCCCTGATTGAGGTTGAGGCAGCTCAACCCTGCCTAGAGAAGCGAATGCACCCTGTTAAGTACTGCCCTTAGTGTTCTCTGTCTCATAGCCTCCCAGCCTCCTTGCAGCCAATCTCCATGGCGTCAGTGTGGCATGAGTTCCCAGGCACTGGGGAGATTAGAATCCGGTGAACACTGTGCTGGTCTCTTTTTGGTATAAACAGCAGTATTAAACCGAGCCTCTAACTCATGTTGAAGCACATGGACTCATCATCCCTTTTCAATGTGGCTGGGTTTCTAAAACCCACCAGTAGAATAGAGAGTGATCCTAATCACACAATGAAACCGACATCACTTATTGAGCACATAGTGTGCACATATGCCCTTAAGATTAGCCTAGTTTACAAGAGGAAGACCTAAGGGTGGTCTTATCCAGGTGCACAGCCAGCAGCAGCAAGCAGGGGGAGAGAACCAGACGTGCTGCCAGAGGATGCACCTTCGACCACTACGGCATGACTAGCCGCTCCGCCCACTCTGCACATGGGCTCCTTCTCTGCGCTTGGAGAGGAGCAGCCAGGTGCTCCGCCCCCACTCCCATGGAGGGAAGCAGCCTTGTTGACTGCTCTATCACCAAATGTGGCTTGGGTGGGCTCTGGAGCAAGGGCCTGACACTATGGCTGAGCCCCTGACTCACTCGGTTGCATTGCCAGAAGTAGATAATTGCTCTTACTTCATGAATTACTGACTGGATTAGAACTTGGTCTGATGTTCTCCACTGTGGCAATGCAGGAGGAGGTACACATACATTCACAAGGCTATGGTTGTATACTGCAACTCCACTGGCTTCTGGGAGCTTGCAGGTTTCTCAACTTAACCATCTCGGGAGTTTAGGCAATGACTCTGAATGCCTCCTATTCTTTCTCTGGTTCTCCCTAACTATGTAAGAGAGGTGAACAAAGAAAGCCCAAGAGAGGGACCGTGAGGCTTGGTAACTGTACAGTGACCCTCAGAGGCCAGGTCCCCCATGCTGGGCTGACTTCCAACCCCAGGTGTTGAAGTCACTAGCGAGATGAATGGGCCAGGCACGGAACATTAGCCAGTAGACCAAAAAGTAAAAGGCAGGGCCGTGCATGAACCTGGATCTTTGGGCAAACTGGCAAATGTGTCCACACATCAGAGGTGACAGGAGAGGAGACACACCGGGCAAACAGGAACACGTCATGCAAGTCAAGACCTCTCAGGCTCTTGCATTCCCTTTCCTGCTTGGCCAAGTGCAAATGGGACTTTAACATATGACAGCCACACGAGACAAGCTACGCAACGCCACTTCTGAGCTGTCTTAAGTAGAATCCTAGAAGCTCTGTAAGTAGCGCCATCCAACAGAACTTTCTGTGATGATGAATCATCATAGTAGAAGGAATAGAATGTTCTCCTCTAGCTGCACTGTCCAATATGGTAGTCACCGGGCCCCATGTGGTTTCAGCACTTGAAATGTGGTCAATATGAATGAGGAACTAAAGAGTTAAGTTCATTTCAATTAATTTAAATGCAAATAGCCACACGTGGCTGCTGGCTACTGGACTGGAGAGCACAGCTCCAGAAACATGGTGCTAAGGATGTGGGCTCCGGAAAAAGATGGTCTGGGCTTGACTCACGGATTTGTCACTTCCTAGTTATGCCAGTTGGGGGAAGTTATATAAATAAGCTTTCTGTGCCTTAGAGAGTGGCAGGGGTGTGATGGAATTAACAAGGGCCTGGCATGTTGCATGCACTCTTGCCAGGTTGGTCAGTAAAACGTTGTTCTTGGTTGAGGTCGCGTTGGCCCCAATTTGTGTCGACCTTATAGAGCGAAATGCTGCCTGGTCCTGCACCATCTCAGGATCACCAGTATATTTAAGTCCATTGTTGTGGCTATGTGTAAAATAGGCTAGACCAAGAACAATGGGAAATGATTATACTGCTGATGAAAATCTTAATAACATCAGAAGCAATTATTAAGAACTTACTCAGTGGAAGGCAGCAGGCTAAGCCCTTTCCAAGGGGTATTTCAACTAATTAGTTCTCAGAACCATCCTATGTGGTAGTACTATTATGATCCCCACTGTGCAGATGAAGAAACCGAGGCACAAAGAGATAATTCATCAGTAACCACCAGAGCCTAGACTAGACCCCAAGTATTGTCTGACTTCAAAGCCTAAGATCTGAGTTTGGTTGTATCAAGTCACTCAACTGAAATGGATGTTGCAACGAGCCGACCAGCTGCAGCAAGATTCCAGAGGGCTGCCAGGGACCACAGCTGTGCAATGGTGGGGGTGCCTCCGGTGCCACCCAGGTGGCCTTTTCTTCCTACAATAGCTGTATTCTGACATGAGGAGCACTCCAAG